TCTATACTTCCAATATTAACATGTGTTGCGCTCTGATGCCATGGATATATAGAAAACCTTAGATAAATGATGTCGCTCGCTTGATCCACCGTACAGCATTTTGGGGCTACTTTAGTAGGCAACTGAGGTAACCACTGTGTGCTTTCCTAGAAGTGATCGGTTGCACTTTCGATCTGCTGACCAGACTTGTTTTCAGAAATACGAGTTACCGTCTGACCCGAAGGCTTAACGATTTCGCATGTCGTTATAGCCTGACTGGCGGATAGAAGAGAGGAAAAGGGGTTCTAATGAACGAGAACTGAGACCCAAGGACATTGATTAGACCGATCAGTAAAGGTCATACAGGTCATCAATAACGTTTTTTATCTACCAGAGACTCATGTTCAGTTCGGTCTGGTCTCCTTTTACTTGAAGGATTTCGCAATCTTTTAACCAATTCGAGCTAAATAGCCAGTGGTCCGGCCAATTTGCTGTAATTACGACAAGGAACTGGGTCTCAGGGTGGTTGTGGGGGTGGCCAAGCCATTACAAAACCAAGTACGGACGTCTGTGTTGAATTTGGATTTGCGAACGTTGGTGGGTGGGTGATTGTGTAGCAAAAGCAGTCTTACACCATACCACCTCTCCTTGTCCATTATTAGCATCCACCGCACCCCAACACCGGTGTCGTGAATAAATATAAAAATTTACGTAAGTGACATTTTTCGGTTGACCCACCGTAAATACTTTGCTGTTTACCATACCAGGCAACTAAGGTGACATAGACGCGTTTTTTTAAACGTGTTTTGTTTCACTTTTGATCCGTTGGCTGGATTTGTTTGCCAAAATTATGAGTCAGTGTGTGCATGAGGCCCTTACGAGTAAGAATGTTATTATAGCCCGATGGATAGATGAAAGGGAAGGTAAGCAGTTTTGGGGAACAAAAACGTTTTTGAAAACATTTTGTTTATTTGGGGCAAAGAGCGTTCTGGAAAATTCCGGCCTTTTCCCCAGCAACGGTAAAGAGCTCTAATGCTCGAGAATTCCCTCACGGGCAAATCTCAAATATTCTACCGGTTATTTGTTGAGCGCAACGTATGAGCAAAGGCATCGCGCTTGCTTGAAGCGATACTAAACGCTGATTGGCTGCTGGATTTAACGCATGCATTCCACAGCCGCTTTGGCCTGCTATATTGTGTATTATTATGTCCTACATAACAGCGTGCGCCGAAAATCGACCTCCAACACTCGTCTGCCTTGTCGTTCGGGTCTCTGCGCTTAGCGAATTCACAATGATGAGTCAAACTGGTCTACAAAAAGGAGAATCGGCCACTCGCGCGGTCGGTTTTCATTTTTTTATTTGCTTTTTCCTAAAAAGGTATACCGTATTCTGGCCTGAAAAAGAATCAAGAGCTTTAGCAAGCGTTGTAGCAACGGGGGTTCGATAACACGCGTCCTCTTTATGCAGTCCTTTTTGTTGGCGCCAGAGGAAAGAAAAGGTGTGCTTTTCGGTATTAAGGCTGAAGAAATACTAAAAAGGTACCTCAGTTTATCGGGCCGTCCAGGCAGATGCTGTGAAGCCCGAAATGAGCGGAGTT